CTCGCAGCATCTTTCTTAGGTCCTGCAACCAAGTTTAAAAGGCTCACTTGTTCTAAGTCTGGGGCTGGGTATTTGGGAATTCGGGCTTTGTCTTCCACAAATTGGTCGTAGATGTCACGGTAGGTGGGAGGAAAGTGAGTATGCTCATACAACTGTTTTATACAAAGGAAAAGTGTGAGGAAGATACCATGTATGTGATGATACGAGGAGGCGAAGATGCTTACCAGTTCGTCATGAGGTCGACGAAATCACCATAGGTATCAGTCTCAAACTCGCATAGTCTGCAACTCCAGAGAGGTTTCCCAGTACACTTGTGGACGAGCATCCAGCGCCACGAATTGCCATTGCCCTTGGCACGTGGATATGCGGGAATAATAGTGTATCGTCCTGCCCAGACCCCAGTCCCACCATTCACAAGAAGACCATGAAAATTCACATCAGCAAAGCGGTCGTCGGATATGAGCATGACAGTAGCCGGAGGTGGATTCTCATATTGGATCACCAACGCCAACAGAAAAATCACTAGACTTGTTCAAAGCCGATTCTATACTCGGACGGACACGGCGAGGGTCATAACCAGCAGGAATCGGACAGCTCTTCATGTCAAGGAATCGGCCCTTTAGATGCCCAAACAACTCTTTAACTCTTCAACTTTTGTACAATATACTCTGTGTTTTGGGCTTTACTTCTCAACTAGTCCATTGCTTGAATTGACACATTATGTCCAATGTGTGTTTTCGCTTAAAGTCATAAGATTGTTACTCAAGGATAATATATTCTGAAATCAGTACATTCTAACATTATGCAAAACCAACGTACAGTTTCTTTTTATTTAACACGTAAATTAGGATCCGCGTATTAAGCACACTAAAAATTATTAATAAAAATATTTAAATTCTAATTAGTAATCCGCTGGATTATCAAAATATTTTGAAATATTATTTAAAACGGGTTTTAAATTATGAAATATCAGATGATAAAAAAAAAAAAGATGATCAACAATTTTTTTTTTTGAAATATCAATTTATATCTCGATTTTCTTGTTTTAATTCATATTATGTGAATGCAA